TAAAATAAATAAACCCTAAAACGATCTATTACCTCTGATTAGGGGCACTACATTCCTCGTTGTTGCCATCTCCTCTTCCAAATTTTGCCAAAAAACAACAGCTCCAAGACCGGATATAACAGAAGAAAATAAAAAAAGGACATGGATTTAAAAATTAGGGTTTCTGCTACTGTGAGAAGAGTGAACTAAGAAGAGAGCAAGAAAAAACCAGTCCTATCTCCCTCTCTACCGCTAACCCTTCTTCTCTCTATTCTTCTGCCTCCTCTCTTCTTTCTCTCTTCTTCTCTCTACTCTTCTGCCTCTTTTCTCTTCTTTCTCTCTCTTCTTCTCTTTTTCTCTCTCTAAACTCGTTAAGTTTGGTTTTCAAATGGCATTGTTCTCGTCTGGTCGAGACATATAAAGGCACCGCTGTCAACGGTCATTTGTTTGTGACGGTTGGATTCGTTTTTTCCATTGGTTGGGACATTGGATTCTGCCGAAACACATCCAACGGTTGGCAACTTCTTGCAAAATTCTCTCTCTCTAGGTAACATTGGCTGGCATACATAGTAAGACCCAGTTTCTACGCAGCAAATAGAAATACGGGCCACTTGATAAATCTATTTTTCACATGGATTTTAGGACTTAATTTTTACATACTTGTAATTTTTAATATGGAGATCATTAATATGAAAAAATAAATAAATTTTAAACACTAAAATTAATGAATCTAATAAGAAAATATTTAGACTGTTAGTTTGTATTATTTTATATTCATCTTTAAAATGGATGCTTTACACGTTTTGGACCGTATATGTAGAAATGTTGTCCAGTCCGTATGAAACAATTTTCCACATGTTAATTATGGAGACGTAGTAATTAGAAAGGGAAAAGGTTTCTACGAGTCATGGGACTCATAGGGACTCATATATAGAGATGAGTCATCTCTTAAAAATTCATTTTTGAGATAAATTTTAGACCTAATTTTTAAGGAATATATAACATTTAACATGGATATCATGAATTTATTAGAAAAACAAATTTTAAAAGCTGAAACAAATAATTTTACAAATGAAATGTTTAGACCATTGGTTATAACTTTTTTCGAGAGAAACTACCCATATGAATCCATCTTTAAGATAGATGTTTTATGCCTCTGGGAATACAAATTTAAGAATTCATCCCCTGGTGCATACAACAGCTTTCCAATCTGAAGATGGTGATACCTCAAACAAAAATAAATTTTAGTAAGGAAAAAGGAATAGAAATTTGGAAAAGATGTGGTCCCTTCAACATACACATAGAAGGGACCTACAACGGTACTCCTGTAGGTGTACAACATACTTGTATTCCTAGAGTACAAGACTGATTAATTTGACATAAATTTCGATAGAAAAAAAATGAGTTCCTTCGCCCAGATTTCACAATCAAAAGTAAACTAAGTTGAAAGTTCATTTCTTTGATATAAATTTTAGGAGAAAAAAAATGAGTTCCTTCGCCTAGATTTCACAATCAAAAGTGGACTAAGTTAAAAGCTCAAATTATATCTCAGCTCTTTTTCCCATAAGAGTCAAAACTATTTTTTTTGTTAATTCAGATGTCGTTTGGTTCTCATACTTCCAAGCATATTGCTCTATTGTTGGTTGGTCCTTTTTGTTCCCCGTCTAATGACCTTTTTTATTTGAGCAACTAGGCTGGTAGAGCATGATAGCTTCTTATGATCCACCGGTTAAGAAGTTTGGATTATCTTTTGTCATAACGATGACTGAAGTTAAAAGATTTCTTAAGCAAAGTCATTGGAGAGCAATCCAATTTTGCAACTACAAAAAAGTGTTTGCTTAAGTTTAATAGTAATTTTTTGTAACTACATCTCTGAGGGAAGAAGAAGTAATCCGTTTGGCTAAGTGTTTGCTTAAGTTTAATAGTAATTTTTTGTGAACATTTTCTAGCTTCTTGAATACAATGGCACCGAAAAAACTCCTACCATTTAGACTGGTGGTTAAAGGCACCATGCAACAGAGCAGTAGTGATTCCCCCGTTAAATGTTTTCTCAACTGAGAACCTAGAGTTGATGTCTTCTAAGGATGACAAGTTCTCTCATTTGATGGTGATGAACATTAGGATTTTGAAAGTATCCTTGGGGACATGAGAGTGACTTTCAATGCTCTAAATGGACAGGTTGCAGATGCTTTATGAGGAAAGGTCTAGAGGGCCAAGGAGGAAGAAGAAGCTAAGGTGGGAGACAAGGTCATCGAGACTCCTGCTGAGAAGACTAAAGCTAAGGGCAAAGGGATTGCCAAGAGTATTCCCAAGCCTACAAGATCATCGCCTAGGCTTGCACCTCAAAAAATGGATCAAGGTGGTGGTGGTTTGATCATCCTAAGTGATGATAATGTAATGGAACCCGTAGAATCATGTACGTCCATATCAGCTGGGAAAGTGAGGAGCTTGTCGAAAATGGAGCTACTTATGCACCAAAATGAAGCTAATAAGTTGGAATGTTCGGGGCCTCGGTGAGCTGCGTCGTAAGAAGGAGGTCAAGCTTCTTATCCATAAATATAAGTTGATGTTTTGTTATTGCATGAAAGTAAATTACCAAATCCGTCTCTTTTTATTGTTAAGGAGATTTGGATTTTGGGTTTGTTATTTTTTGTGGGGCGGATTATGTCGGTGCCTATGGGGGTTTATGAATTGTGTGGGATCCTGATGTTTCATGTTGTCCTAACATCATTACAAATACTTGTTTTGTTGGAGTTATTTTGGAAGGTCATTTTTCTTCTTATATGCGGTTGTTGATCAATGCTTTTAAAGGTGTGAGGGTCGCCTCTAAGTCACTGATATACTTAGACTATATGCCTCATGTGATTATGTGTTGGATAGGGTTAAGAGAAGTAAAAGGAAATAAGAACCCCAATATCTAAGTATAATTGGTCATGACTCATAGGGAATGAGTCCACACCCTGATACGAGAACAAGTTGTGGCATGTGCACTCATAATTGCACAAGAAGCCACTCTTCTAATGTGTAATTATTCAACTAAGAAGAGCTAGTATACATGTGCAGGGACCCTATATATTATTGTTTCTATGTCCCCAGGAGCGCACCTATAATTCACTCACACCTAAAAGTATTGAAAAATTGATTGGGATGACATTGATAAACCATATTATGCATCCTTACCAGAGACTCTAGATTATAGGCTTGTTACGTCACTCGGAGTGAATGGACCATCATTCCGAACTAGCGCAGTGCAGTACTCTGATACTAAAATTTCAACCCATAGATCTCATGTACCCCTTGTCCAATTTTGTTTTGATATCAAAATAAGTATTTTTTTTAAATGAAAATTGATTTAGAGATTTTTAAGAAATTTTGGCAATTTTTTAAATTTTTTTGGAGCAAGAATATGAGGTTTTTTAATTTATTTGGGGTACATTCCAATCAAGGAGAACTAGTGGAGGCACTCATGTAGTTTTTTTTCACATGTGTCTAGGGTTGAGGATACATTATGAAATTTTGGCTTAGGCCCTAAGTCTTGGATGATAATCATAGTATAAATCACATTTTGGTGTGACATCATCTATTGACTAAGGTCAGGCGAAATTTTTGAGATGGCTTCATTTCCTTTTGAGCAAATATAGCTATGGCCATTTGAGTTCTTTATGGTGTTTAGCCCACTTGATGCTCCATACTTAAGGTAATCCCCATAGCCTCTACTCTTTTATTTTTAGAGTATTTCTTCTGTCTTTTTAGTGCTGTAAATCTATGATTACAATAAAAATTTTGTCCTTTTATGCTGGAGTGTTTGTGATCTTTGGTTACCTTATAAAACTATTCATCCACACCACGTAATGTGCATAGTCTAGTTTTCAATCTTGAATTTAGACACCACTTTCTCTACCATTTTGTTAATCTAATTTATATGAGATATTTCATGCATACTAGCAAGCATTTAGTGATACTTTGAATGCCCCATCAAAGTCATTTGATCCTAGAGCATTTCCCTTGTTAATCAATACTTGTTTTCTCTAGTCTATAGTCATATACTCCCATACAACATAAGATGTCTATGCTCATTGTTTTTATCAACATTATCATCAAAAGTACATTTATGTCTCTCATTTTGAAGCTAATAAAGTGGTTAATAATTGAGCATAAGCTTCCCGTCACATAAGTGAGACAAGCCCTTTGTATCACAATCGTTCGTGCTATCATACATGGGACAAAATTAAGACCCTAAAAGGTCCGCTTATGTGATCTTGGCACAAAGGGTTTGACAATTGGCTTCCCCTTGATACTTTTCACTTATTTGTTGTAATTTTGAGTTTTTAAATGTTTTGGGGTATGGAGAGTTGATCATGTAATGTTTAGAGTTGGTTTATATTGTTGAGAAAATTATATGCTCACAATGTTATCAGATTCGTTTCGGAGTCGTCTTCGGTTTGGTGAGAAAATGAAGCAATTCGGTGCTTTAGCTAATCGGGAGAAGACTTCAAATATTGTTAATTTAATAAATAAATTAGATATATATCTAAAATAAATAAAAATAATGAAAAAATAAAAATTTCAAAAAAATGAAAAAAGAAAAAATATTTTTGTATAGATATTTCTTTGCTTAGGCCGAAGAGGCCAAGCTTCAGCAAAATTGGTTTGAATCAGACCCAAATTTGATTGAAACGGCCCAAATCTAACTGAAACAGCAGTATCAAGCTTCGCTCTGAAAAATGTGCAGCATTAATTTAAAATGTTTAAAAAAAACATCATGACTCCTAATGAACTACCAGAGAGCAAACACATTCGGGGCCAAATTCACCCATGTATTCCATATCATAGAAATACAGGCTTTACCTATCATACTGAGAGCGAAAGAGTTCCAGAGGCTTGAACCTATGTTACAATTTACATCAGCCTGAAAGCTAGATTCGGGCCTTGAAGCCTATACATATGATTCTAGGAAAGGAAAATATACAAACACACATCAAATAAATCAATACCAATGCCATCATGAGCCTATATACCTGACTATATGTAGGGGTATTATATGTATGGTCTGCTCCTTCGATAATAAGCTTCTCGTGAGCCTAAATTTAATAGCTTCTCTCTCTCTCTCTCTATCAGATTATTGCAATGTAGCAACAACAACAGTAGTATCAATGCGCTGATCATTAACTTATTGCAAATACAATCACTCTCTTCTATCCCTCTCAATCATGCAAATATCATCAAAGAGTGTGTATGTCTCAGTCTCTCTCTGAGCTGAACTGATCCAATGCTGTCAATCCAATGAAATTGAAGTCCTTTCCTCATCAAGAAGCGAGGTTTATATAATCATTCAATAGTTGATAAGTATAAAAGTTTATCATGTTTATCCATTCATTGATCGCATGCCTTATC